TTTTTTAATATTGGACTATATATTGTAGTTTTCTTTTTTTTTTTTTTTTATTGGACTATATATTGTAGTTTGTTGTTGTTGTTGTTGTTTTATATTGGACTATATATATTGTAGTTTGTTTGTTTGTTTTTTAATATTGGACTATATATTGTAGTTTGTTTGTTTTTTTAATATTGGACTATATATATTGTAGTTTTCTTTTTTTTCTCAATATTGTGAAGCCCTGGTACCAATATTTGTGGTCAGATTTCATCATTCACAGTGCTTCATGGGACTGTAGTTCATAAAAAAATGAGAAGAAAATAATGAAAGAAAAGAGAAAGTGCTTTCATCTTTTTGTTTCTGATTTCTATCTCTGTGGAGAGACTGAACGTGAAAGTGAGCGTCACTGTTGCGTTTTTTCACGACAAACGTGAGCGGCTGGATCTTCATTGTCCCTCTTTCTCTCCTCCGTCACACTGTGTCTCTTTCATCGGCTCTTTTCCCAATAAACAGGATTTATGGCAGGCATAATAAGCCTCCATACACTCCTCTCTCCTTTATCTGCTGTTTCATTGAGGAGGATCAGTTAGAAAGCTGCCGACCGGACATCATTAGTAATCATGGGATCGTATGTGAAATAAACGCCTCATTTTTGTATGAACAGAAGAACATCAGTGCATGGATATAATCGCTTGGTCATCTGTGCAACTTTAGAGAGGTGAAACCCACACAGCAGCTCTCATTTACCAACAAACCATGAAGAAAGACTCATATAAATAAAAGTAAAACAATGAACAGAAGAAAACAGTTGTTTGTATGAGTGAATTAAAGTCTGAAATATGAGTAAAATGCAGTTAATGTGTTTCTCTCATTTACTGAACTGTATAATATAATAAATCATATAATATATAATTTATTTTAATCCTGATTTTATGTCTATGACTTCATTAAAAATAAACCTGCAGTCAGTTTCTTGTTACATTTCGATTCATTTTGTTGTTTATTTAACGTTGACAGCCAAAAACGGTATTTATGTCTCACATTTGGTAACAAGGTCACTATTATAAGGCTATAATACTAAAAACACAAGCCTTCTAAGAAAATAAAACGGCTCATTCAGTGTTTTGTGTTCTGGCGGTTGGACGCCTCCTTTCACCGATAATTTGATGTGAAAGAGACAAAGGCCTGCCAGGCTGTATTGTGAAAGAACTGTATTTTGCTCTGAAGTCCTGGGATGTGCTGGAGGTTTGCCGGGTTAAAGGTGTGAGTCGAGTGGCTCTGGATCCGGAGGTGAGCGTGATGGTTTGGCAGATCGCATCGTTCCAGGCCGATCGTTCCCAGAAGCTCTGGTACTCCGCTGGTTTTCTCAAACAAGTCGGCGCCCCATAATTGCAGGCTGCTTTTTTTCTTAGATGTCTTTCTCTCGCTCTCTCTCTCATGTGGATTTTTTTGAAACCTTAGCATTCCAGAAGATCTAGTCATGGACTTCTGAAAACATTCCTCTTTCCCCCTCCGTTCTTTCACCGCCGTCTGTTTTTCCATCATGTCAGGAATGTCACCGAGGGACTCGCAGCCATCGCTCCGGCCGAGGGACCTCCGGAAAATCTCCTCGGTCTCAGCCAAACTCGCTCTTCCTGCAGAGGTCACCGAGAGTCTGTGGGAAAAACGACCTGAGCGCGAGACCAAATCACTCCTCAGCTCCAGATCTTTCTTATTTCCGACAGTAAACGTTTCCTCGTTTCAATGCCACGAGTGACACACACACACACACACACACACACACACATGTCTGGTGTGCTATCCTTGTGGGGACTCTCCATAGGGGGGCTCGCCCGGGTCGCATTTCAACCAAAAATGCGAGACAGGGGCGTCGTATCTGCTGTGAGCCTCAGCCCAGCGCAAACTCGGCTCCAAACAGCAAATTATTTTGTCTTGAGTCGCAAACGTTTTTCGCTTTGTAGCTGCAGCGGGATTGGAAATCGAAGGCGTTTCCACGGCGTTAATTGTGGGATGTCGGACTGCAGTGGCAAGCACTGATTGCTTGGGCATGTGTGTATGAAAGACACACACACACTCCTACACACACACCAGCAACAGAGATATCTGGAGCCAATGGACTGTAAGTGCTGATCGACTGCAGAACACACACACACACACACACACACGGGGGGCACTTTGAGCTCATTTTCATCACCTCACCGACTCGCCCCTTTATCGGCCGCTTTAACCCTTTTACAGTCGCTCCTGATGACATTAGCGCTCAATTCATTTCCCCCGGCTCGTGTGGGGACTTCAGGGGCCCCTAGCGGACAAAACACGAGCAAACAGACGCAGAGAGAGACAGAGAGAGAGAGAGACAGACGGGCGATCGTCTCAAACCTTATCTCAGAGTTCAGAGGTTTGTGGTTTTTTGGTCAGAACGTCCATCTAAAGTTCATCTCGTACACGTTTACGAGGCAAAACCAAAACAGACCAAGAAAGAAAGAGAAGGCTGAATTGTTTTTGCCAGATTGATGCTTCGTTTTACATGAACGCAATAAAAGAAGCTACTGAGGAAAAGCCTCGGCGATGAAGAGAAACCTCAATCTGACAGAGCCAAAGCGCTCAAACCCTCACGCCGAGCGATGTGTGTAATCTGACATGAGAAACATGATGAGCGTTTAATCCAGCAGCGACATGAGGCTTTAAAAACCCACAGATATGCCAGAAAATCACAGAGAGCCTCATATATAGAGAGAGTCCCATAGTATTTGAGTGCATGGAAAAAGCCCAAATCACCACACTCTGTACTTCAACGTGAAACAAACCTCTTTGTTTTCAAACGCCTCACACTCACACACACACACACTTATGCACTGTTATATACTGTCTCACACACACACACACACACACACACACTCTTCTGGCGTGATTCGTCATGTTGCAAAAAGCCCAAAATGAGTTGAGAGCGCGTGAAGGAAGCGTCTTACCTGCTCACCATCATCATCCTCATCCTCATCATCATCCTCATCGTGGTGCTGTGAGTTCAGTTGAAGAGAGTTTATTCACATCCAGAGATAATCCAAACGCCGCTGCGCGTCGCTCACTCCGGGCTCCTGTGTCAGTTCTTCAGCGCGGCGCGGAGTTTAACGCGCGGATATGACCTCCTGCTCGAGCTCAGAGCGCGTGTGACGCGCGGCGGCTGTGTTCATCGCGCGGCGGCGCGGGGAGAAGCGGAGAGCGCGTGCCGTCCGGGAGGCGCGTGCGGCGAGACTGCGCGGTCGAGCTCGAGCGGCACCGGAGAGGGACGGAGCGGGGAGTGACGTCACGCGAGCGGGGCTTCAGAGACGCTGTCGAACATTCGTCGCGTTTCAGCGATAATCACCGCGGCGCCAATCATAGGAGGACTCTCATCTCCAGGGAAGTTAAATAACAGCGCTTATGTCCTAATTTTAGGGCGCGAACGTCGGTCTTTTCCACAAACGGCAGCTATTTTAGAGACTTTTTTTAAACAAGTAGACAAAGTTTTTGTGTAATATGTTTGAAGTGTTTAGATATTTATTTCAAGTACCCTACGAGTAGACTGTATAAATTATATATTTTGTCGATTTTTGATCGTATCGGAAACGGTCTAGTGTTGCCATGGTTACCTCATCCGGCGAATGCTACTTCTGTTCAAGAGTCTATTTGGCGCGCAAGCGGTGTTACTAACTTGTAATTTAACCTTTGTGGAATACTGCATATTTATATAGTTATATTAAGTTATATATAAATGATAAAAAAAAACATAAATAAACAAATCATATTTATTTATTGTTTCTTTGTAAAATGAATTTAAATTAATTTCCAAAATAAATTGTGCTTATTTGTTTATTTATTTAAATTCTAAAATGAAAACTGCTTATTGATTAATTGATTGATTGACTGGAGGAAGTTAAATAAACACTTTTTTTTTTAGTGGTACAATCTGTTCAGAATGTCTTCACGCAAATTGTCTCTCCTCACCCCGAGAAAAAAAAAATGTAATTATTACAGCCACAATACTTCTAAAGTCTTATTTTATGATATGTAAATCCATTAACACACACACACACACACACTCTCTCTCTTCTGGCGTGGCTCGTCATGTTGCAAAAGCCCGGAATGAGTTTGGAGCGCGTGACGCGTCTTACCTGCTCCTCATCCTCATCGCGGTGTTGTGTGAGTTCAGCTGAAGAGAGTTTATTCACATCCAGCGGTAATCCAAGCGCCGAGCGCGAGCGTGCGTCTCTCTCGGTCTCGTGGCGCGGAGTTAAACGCGCGTCTATCGATTTTGATACGGAAACCGTTACATTACCTCCTCAGGCGAATACAGAGGCGTCATACCCATTCAAAGTGAGGGGGTGCAGCTTCCAAAAGACAAACAATAGCCGAATAATATTGTATTATATTTCATACGGTCACACCGGTGTGATTATATCGTTCAGTGCGGCACAGCATCAGATCTGTGTTCGCTGGCTGGCGCTGAGCCAGAGACAGACGCGTCTGTACAGCGCTGCATTATAACCAATCACACACGATTCTGTTGAGCTTCTGAATGCAATGACCAATCAGAGGCGTTCTGATGAGTCACTCGCTCGCTGACCGAATTCTCTCATCAGAAACAACAAAGTGCAGATGTGGGTACGAATGTAAGTAAGATATTAATTTCACAGTGTAAACAGCTTCAGTGATTGTAATGGGAGTTTTTGAGAGTGCCTGAACTCTAGACTGAATGAAAATGTTCTTTGACAATGTAAACGTTCTTTGCTCTCTGTTAAATTAAAGTGTTATAATTAGTAACTTACAATATTGTTATTAAATTCACATTAAATACAAAGTCAGTCGTCTTAAAAAAATGTTTTACTGCATGACACCCATATCTGGTACTGGTGTAGTTAATAGATTACACTATTAGTCTACTTTGCCCAACACCCATTATAGATCAAATCAGTCATTCTTGAGACATGGGACAAAACAGGTCCAGCAAGGGTAACTGCTATTAGGTTTAAAAATAAAAATATTTTCAATTTTAAATGTCATGAGGGATAAATAATAGAATGTATTTAACACAATTATCACCTTCAATTTAATTTTCTCATTATTATACCAAATCTGTGTTTCTTAATGTCCTCTCACTACATCTAAAACAGTGTGCCGCAGTTCACCTCTGCAGAGTACAGCAGTGTCAGACAGGCTCTAAGTTTTATAGTTTTAGAATATTTTAAATCCTAATGTTAATATGTCCTGTGTCACAACCATGATATGTCAACACCATCTTCCAATTTCTGAGGAAATTATTTGTAATGAATATTTTGATAATATTTCATTATGATATTTTATATTTGTTGTGGAATTGTTGGTCACATGTGAACGTGTAATCTGTCTGCTAACACGATAATGTGTTTTGAAATGTTAAAAACATCTTGAATGCTGTTAAAGATAACGCTGAAATTATATTACACAGTCCAAGGTAAAAAAGCACATTTTGATTAAAAAAAGAGAAAAGTTGGGAGGTTGTATCAAAGCATAGCTCAGTAGCTTAGTACATATAAGATACATAAATGTAGTTTCATTTGTCTGAGTACAAGGTTTTATTTTTTCAATTTTTGCACCCTGTTTTGTCCCACTTCTCAAGAATGACTGAAATAACAATCTATAAAGGTGCAAAACGCATTTACTTACACATATTTGAGAATCGAGATATTTCCTGATTGGAAATATTTCGAATGAAAAGGAAAAAAGAAAATAAATAAAACATAAGCCTGTATCAGTTATACAGTGTTATCGTGGCTGCTGTGCGAGCGCAACCCCCTGTTTGTTTATGTACTTATTTACTTAAGGAATTTCTATAATACTGCTTATGCATGTATGTATGTATTATTGATTTATTTGTCTGAGTGTTTGTTTGTCCTTTTAAAATGAAGTAAAATTATTTTTTTTAAAGAACACTGCTTTTAGTTATGTATTTATTTATTTATTAATTTATCTTGAAAATGAAAATGAAAACTGCTTATTTATTGATTGAGTGATTGATAAATAAATAAATATATTTTTGTCTCTCTGTTACAGTACAATGTTTAGATTGTCTTCACACAAATGGTCTTTTTCACCCTCAAGCAAAAAAAAAAAAGGACAATTATATCCAGAATAGTTCTAAAGGCTTATTTTATATTTCATGACATGCAAATCCATTAAAACATAAGAGCCAGATAATGTCAGTACTGATTGTAATTGAAAGCACTGGAGCGGTCTGTTGTTGCTATGGTTACCTCCTCAGGTGAACACTATGTCTTTTGTGGGCCATAAATGCGGGTCAGAGCGTCTCGAACCCCCCCATAAACTCAGGCGGGTTACGAGAAGATGCTGCCATTCATAAAACTATAAAAATCAGCAACTCACTGTAAATCATTCATCATGTTACAGATCATGTTTACTGTAATTGTCTTACTTCAACAACACAACATACACAGACTGTCATTAACTAATGAAGCTCTTAATGAACTGAGCTCCACACAACCATCATCATCATCATCATCATCATCATCCTCATCATTCAATAATGAATCTGAATTAGTAACAGCTGGACGACTGTAACAGAACGGAGGCAAATGCAAACACACAACCAGCGAAGAGACACAACTGTAAAAACTGTGAATGTAAGAGCCTCAGATATGAGTGCGAGCGCATTATAGAGTCAGTACCGCCGCTGGCCTGTTGGGCGCAGCAGAGTTAATGTGTGGCTTTACAGAGCAAGGCTGTTATATGTTCTGATAGCTGACAAGTGCTAGTCCTGACCCAGTTTAAATACCGTCAACAAAGATTCTTATCTAAGAAAAATACTGCTATCGAATGGCACGCTGGAGAGTTGGACAGGAGAGCCGTGTGTGTGTGTGTGTGTGTGAGCGAGCGTTTCCAATGCATCATTAAACAGATTGAAGGACTTCTCATTCCAACAGCTGAAGCTCTGCCCCGCAGGCACCGGCACACAGCGAAGGTGTTCTGCTAAAACTCGTCCAAAAACAATCTGTGCAGCCCACCGCTTCAGGACACGAGAAAACAACAGACTGTGGGAAGACGTGCTCTCAGCCCTCACCTGCGCTCCTGGGTTATACTGCGATCCACAGCCGCTGAGCAAAGCTAGAAAACACGGGGTTGCTTGCTGCTGGAGTCCAGCGTTGGGCACTAACTGGTTACTAAGGTTCAAAGACTCAAAGCGTTTATTGTCATGTGCACAGTGAGGAGAACTCGTTTCCCGGTACAACGGAATTCTTTCTTTGCCGTCCACAGTGAATGCCAAGACAAGTGCAAACTATACAAAACAATAAACACACTCACGTGCATACAAACAAACAGAATAAATGTAAAAGTATGATGCATATCTAGAAATACAGACTATGTATAGAAATATAGACATCTGTATGTGCGAGTGTGCAATATTGACTTGTGTGCAAAACAATAGTACAGTAACATGTAGCAAATTCAGTGCAAATGCATGATGATAATAGCAGCAGTAACATTAAAAATGTGCAAATTGAGCTGTAGCAATTCAGTGCAACTATTCTATGAGATAGATGAGACTAGTCTGTGACTAGTGACACATTACAGTAATATTACTTTCCCTGGTAACTAGTAGTGTAACTAAGTACTAATAAAATTTAAGTAATAATATTACAGTTGCCATCCCCCCCAAAAAAGGCAAGTTACTAGTTACTTTTTTTGCATTTTCACTTTATTTTAAGGTGTTCTTGTTACAGTGTAATTATACATTTAAGTACTGAGTGATGTTAATTAACTACATGTCCTTACTATATGGTTAGGATTAGGGTTACTTGCATGTAATTATGCATAATTAATTGTTAGTATAATAGTAAGTACACGTAACGTGTAACAACTTAAAATAAAGTGTTACCCTTTTTTGTCACAATTGTTAATGTTAATTAAATTGTCCCTATCGATTTTTATAATTGTTGCCGTCACCAGCGCAGCAAGCTTGCTTCGTCGGAATACAAAGAAGCCTACTTCAAATAGCGTCTGGAAATACAGCCATTATTTTAATTTTGTAGGGAGAAAAGATGACAAAAACATCAATGTCACATGGTTGGTTCTAGCTGCTTGAGCCCTGTTGCAGATTTTACTTTAGTGCTGTTTTATTAAATAACAGAAGTTGTGGCATCTTGTCATCAGTTTGAGACAGTTGAACTCTTCATTTATCTGTAAATTTCATAGATTCACAGGCTGCAAAAATGTTTTGGTGTGTAATGGAAAAGTAATGTAACTAGTTACTGTTGGTTGTGAGTAATAAGTAATGTAGTAATGAGTAACTAGTAATTAGTAATATGTTACAAGTTTTGAGTTATGAGCCCAAAACTGCTGGAGTCACAACCTGAAGCATGACGTTCACTGGAATTTGATGTTCTACCAATACATTTAGCTGAAAACCCATAAAGACAAGTAGTAATGACAGAAAATATTGTGACAAGGGAGAATGCAAACATTTTCACTGTCTGTCACGATTCAGTTTCCTGATATCATAATTATATTGTGATGGATAAAAGTCTGACATGATGTTGTTTGCCTTGTTTTCCAAGGAAAAAAAAAAACATCTTAACATAAATAAAGCAAGATAAACTACTTATGTAAGGCTGTAAGATTGTATCTGAATTAGCAGTATATGTATCTGAACTACTGATGCAATATCGTGGGAAAGAGTTGCACTGAATCTCTTGATCCAGATCTACATGATAACCTTGTTCTGTGGAAAGTCGCACATGTGACATACATACTGTGTTTATTCGGAGTCGCTGAGAAACCCTAACACAACGTTTACATTGGCAGCCGCGAATGCAAATATTTTTGCTTTTCATGAGTCCTATTTCCCCGAGGAGGCCAAGAGTCCAGAATGACCTCTGCTTAAATTGGTGTCATTATATCACAAGCACCCTCTTATTTCAACATGACTTCTGTAGCGCCCTCATCCACCACCGACTACAGAGATCCCGATCCCACCTCAATCAGCAAACCGTTCATTTTGAATACGGCGACTCTCAGCCTCACAAAAAAACCTCAGGCTACATTTAAACTAGTGCATTTTCGTTTTAAAACGCATGACTTTTGCTACGGTTATGCCTGTCGTTTACACTACATCAGACCCTCGAAAACAGAGACTTTTGAAAAACGCTGAAGACCCTGTTTTAGTTTAAAAACTCTAGGGTTGCGTTTCAGTGTAAACGGACCAAAACGGAGACTTCTGAAAACGCAGCAGACCCCGTTTTAGTTTAAAAA